CAACATCCAAAAGTTTATTTCACCTCTCTTCTTTCATTTCCATCCAAAAAAATCTAAGAAATGAGTGAGGAAGGGAAAGAAAAAAAATTTAGAAAAAATACACTCTAATTAAAAGGAACTTTTTGTCAAATATTTTGTGTGTGTAAAGTACAGTACTAGTCCAAACTTATATCAAACATTCAGAAATATCGCTCCCCAGCATCTTACAAATTTAGCTAATACACATCCATACCCCTATGGACAAGTCAAGAGATGTTCCGAAAACTGTAAATATCACCTTTTTGCACCTGGCCTAATCACTCTTTCCATATCAAAATCAGTTAAAATACAACATCCAAAAGTTTATTTCACCTCTCTTCTTTCATTTCCATCCAAAAAATCTAAGAAATGAGTGAGGAAGGGAAAGAAAAAAAATTTAGAAAAAATACACTCTAATTAAAAGTTACTTTTTGTCAAATATTTTGTGTGTGTAAAGTACAGTACTAGTCCAAACATATATCAAACATTCAGAAATATCGCTCCCCAGCATCTTACAAATTTAGCTAATACACATCCATACCCCTATGGACAAGTCAAGAGATGTTCCGAAAACTGTAAATATCACCTTTTTGCACCTGGCCTAATCACTCTTTCCATATCAAAATCAGTTAAAATACAACATCCAAAAGTTTATTTCACCTCTCTTCTTTCATTTCCATCCAAAAAAATCTAAGAAATGAGTGAGGAAGGGAAAGAAAAAAAATTTAGAAAAAATACACTCTAATTAAAAGGAACTTTTTGTCAAATATTTTGTGTGTGTAAAGTACAGTACTAGTCCAAAGTTATATCAAACATTCAGAAATATCGCTCCCCAGCATCTTACAAATTTAGCTAATACACATCCATACCCCTATGGACAAGTCAAGAGATGTTCCGAAAACTGTAAATATCACCTTTTTGCACCTGGCCTAATCACTCTTTCCATATCAAAATCAGTTAAAATACAACATCCAAAAGTTTATTTCACCTCTCTTCTTTCATTTCCATCCAAAAAATCTAAGAAATGAGTGAGGAAGGGAAAGAAAAAAAATTTAGAAAAAATACACTCTAATTAAAAGTTACTTTTTGTCAAATATTTTGTGTGTGTAAAGTACAGTACTAGTCCAAACATATATCAAACATTCAGAAATATCGCTCCCCAGCATCTTACAAATTTAGCTAATACACATCCATACCCCTATGGACAAGTCAAGAGATGTTCCGAAAACTGTAAATATCACCTTTTTGCACCTGGCCTAATCACTCTTTCCATATCAAAATCAGTTAAAATACAACATCCAAAAGTTTATTTCACCTCTCTTCTTTCATTTCCATCCAAAAAAATCTAAGAAATGAGTGAGGAAGGGAAAGAAAAAAAATTTAGAAAAAATACACTCTAATTAAAAGGAACTTTTTGTCAAATATTTTGTGTGTGTAAAGTACAGTACTAGTCCAAACTTATATCAAACATTCAGAAATATCGCTCCCCAGCATCTTACAAATTTAGCTAATACACATCCATACCCCTATGGACAAGTCAAGAGATGTTCCGAAAACTGTAAATATCACCTTTTTGCACCTGGCCTAATCACTCTTTCCATATCAAAATCAGTTAAAATACAACATCCAAAAGTTTATTTCACCTCTCTTCTTTCATTTCCATCCAAAAAATCTAAGAAATGAGTGAGGAAGGGAAAGAAAAAAAATTTAGAAAAAATACACTCTAATTAAAAGTTACTTTTTGTCAAATATTTTGTGTGTGTAAAGTACAGTACTAGTCCAAACATATATCAAACATTCAGAAATATCGCTCCCCAGCATCTTACAAATTTAGCTAATACACATCCATACCCCTATGGACAAGTCAAGAGATGTTCCGAAAACTGTAAATATCACCTTTTTGCACCTGGCCTAATCACTCTTTCCATATCAAAATCAGTTAAAATACAACATCCAAAAGTTTATTTCACCTCTCTTCTTTCATTTCCATCCAAAAAAATCTAAGAAATGAGTGAGGAAGGGAAAGAAAAAAAATTTAGAAAAAATACACTCTAATTAAAAGGAACTATATTCGTGGACAACGAAAAGAGGGATCATTAATTGTGGTCTTTGGCCTATTAGGGGTCTAAACCTTGACCAATTCTAATAAAACTTGGCATGATTTAAGCTTAGTGTATTATGAAACAGTTTACAAAGTTTCAAAGCCATATGATACCAATTATAAAAATTGTGGCATTTTTTATATCTGAACTTTGGGTGCTGAATTGTGGCGTTGAATTAGAATAATTTCAACTATCAAATTTGGGCTTCCAAAAACCAAAATATACCAAAACTTACACTTTTCTATGTCTCTATGTATAAGTTATCACCTATTAAAAGCAACAGATAGCATACTTCATGTTTCAGACTTATAAAAAATGGCCAGAAGTAAATTTCATATGGGCCTGTGCCAAAAAATAGAGGTTTTCAAATGAAGTGAGGCCTTATATGAAATGTAATATTTTTCACTTACCACAATTTTCTGAAGTTGCTAAGTTATAAAAAAACCTTTTACATGTTATAAATGTACTTTTAATGGAAATATAAGTTTCAAATAGCATAACACATGTGAATAAAATGGTCTTCAGCAATGTCAAGCTTAAAAAAACAGGTTGTCAATTTAAGTCGTTCCCCACATTTGCATATTAAAAAGCATATAAATGATATGGGAGATGGAGATATGCTTCTTTTTGCTCTAATCTTTGCTCAGATATGATAAAACATGGAACCTGGATGTAACAAGACTGTCACTTTCAACTATATATGTAGATAGTATGATCTGATGCAAAGTTATTTACTTTACTTTTTAAAACCGGCATGAAATTTCAGCCTCAAAAGGCCAATATTTTAACCACTAGCTATCAAACAAAAGAAAATAAAGATAGTCTGTGAAACAGACAAGGTCAAACAACCAGTAATAAGTGCCTTTGATACAGATTCAGTGAAATCTGCTAAAAGGAATTCAACTTGTATGTGCATAGAACCTCATTTTTCACTTGCTTCATACTGACCGTTAGACTAGGACCATTAAAGCAGCACATTTTGCACTCTTATTCTGATTTGATCTAATTTTTTTGTATGTTTAGTGTTCAAAAATGAGTTAAACATCTACATTAGATACCACAAACACAAGAAGAAAATCAGAAAAACCTGTCAGAGAGAAAGTAAGCATGCTACTTTTGTAAAAATATTGAAACAACTGAAAAAGTTCAATTTTGGGCATGTAGGCTGAAATGTCACTTTTTACAAAATTTCTATCAAATAAAAGTGGAAATAATTTATTCTCATGTAGTTTGACAAATTAATACCAATAGATCATTCAGGGAAGTTGTCAAAGTACAAATTCAATATTTCCTGAATTTCACCTATTAGGGGTCTAAACCTTGACCAATTCTAATAAAACTTGGCATGATTTAAGCTTAGTGTATTATGAAACAGTTTACAAAGTTTCAAAGCCATATGATACCAATTATAAAAATTGTGGCATTTTTTATATCTGAACTTTGGGTGCTGAATTGTGGCGTTGAATTAGAATAATTTCAACTATCAAATTTGGGCTTCCAAAAACCAAAATATACCAAAACTTACACTTTTTAATGTCTCTATGTATAAGCTATCACCTATTAAAAGCAACAGATAGCATACTTCATGTTTCAGACTTATAAAAAATGGCCAGAAGTAAATTTCATATGGGCCTGTGCTAAAAAATAGAGGTTTTCAAATGAAGTGAGGCCTTATATGAAATGTAATATTTTTCACTTACCACAATTTTCTGAAGTTGTTAAGTTATAAAAAAACCTTTTACATGTTATAAATGTACTTTTAATGGAAATACAAGTTTCAAATAGCATAACACATGTGAATAAAATGGTCTTCAGCAATGTCAAGCTTAAAAAAACAGGTTGTCAATTTAGGTCGTTCCCCACATTTGTATATTAAAAAGCATATAAATGATATGGGAGATGGAGATATGCTTCTTTTTGCTCTAATCTTTGCTCAGATATGATAAAACATGGAACCTGGATGTAACAAGACTGTCACTTTCAACTATATATGTAGACAGTATGATCTGATGCAAAGTTATTTACTTTACTTTTTAAAACCGGCATATAATTTCAGCCTCAAAAGGCCAATATTTTAACCACTAGCTATCAAACAAAAGAAAATAAAGATAGTCTGTGAAACAGACAAGGTCAAACAACCAGTAATAAGTGCTTTTGATACAGATTCAGTGAAATCTGCTAAAAGGAATTCAACTTGTATGTGCATAGAACCTCATTTTTCACTTGCTTCATACTGACCGTTAGACTAGGACCATTAAAGCAGCACATTTTGCACTCTTATTCTGATTTTATCTACTTTTTTTGTATGTTTAGTGTTCAAAAATGAGTTAAACATCTACATTAGATACCACAAACACAAGAAGAAAATCAGAAAAACCTGTCAGAGAGAAAGTAAGCATGCTACTTTTGTAAAAATATTGAAACAACTGAAAAAGTTCAATTTTGGGCATGTAGGCTGAAATGTCACTTTTTACAAAATTTCTATCAAATAAAAGTGGAAATCATTTATTCTCATGTAGTTTGACAAATTAATACCAATAGATCATTCAGGGAAGTTGTCAAAGTACAAATTCAATATTTCCTGAATTTCACCTATTAGGGGTCTAAACCTTGACCAATTCTAATAAAACTTGGCATGATTTAAGCTTAGTGTATTATAAAACAGTTAACAAAGTTTCAAAGCCATATGATACCAATTATAAAAATTGTGGCATTTTTTATATCTGAACTTTGGGTGCTGAATTGTGGCGTTGAATTAGAATAATTTCAACTATCAAATTTGGGCTTCCAAAAACCAAAATATACCAAAACTTACACTTTTTAATGTCTCTATGTATAAGTTATCACCTATTAAAAGCAACAGATAGCATACTTCATGTTTCAGACTTATAAAAAATGGCCAGAAGTAAATTTCATATGGGCCTGTGCCAAAAAATAGAGGTTTTCAAATGAAGTGAGGCCTTATATGAAATGTAATATTTTTCACTTACCACAATTTTCTGAAGTTGCTAAGTTATAAAAAAACCTTTTACATGTTATAAATGTACTTTTAATGGAAATATAAGTTTCGAATAGCATAACACATGTGAATAAAATGGTCTTCAGCAATGTCAAGCTTAAAAAAACAGGTTGTCAATTTAGGTCGTTCCCCACATTTGTATATTAAAAAGCATATAAATGATATGGGAGATGGAGATATGCTTCTTTTTGCTCTAATCTTTGCTCCGATATGATAAAACATGGAACCTGGATGTAACAAGACTGTCACTTTCAACTATATATGTAGATAGTATGATCTGATGCAAAGTTATTTACTTTACTTTTTAAAACCGGCATATAATTTCAGCCTCAAAAGGCCAATATTTTAACCACTAGCTATCAAACAAAAGAAAATAAAGATAGTCTGTGAAACAGACAAGGTCAAACAACCAGTAATAAGTGCTTTTGATACAGATTCAGTGAAATCTGCTAAAAGGAATTCAACTTGTATGTGCATAGAACCTCATTTTTCACTTGCTTCATACTGACCGTTAGACTAGGACCATTAAAGCAGCACATTTTGCACTCTTATTCTGATTTTATCTACTTTTTTTGTATGTTTAGTGTTCAAAAATGAGTTAAACATCTACATTAGATACCACAAACACAAGAAGAAAATCAGAAAAACCTGTCAGAGAGAAAGTAAGCATGCTACTTTTGTAAAAATATTGAAACAACTGAAAAAGTTCAATTTTGGGCATGTAGGCTGAAATGTCACTTTTTACAAAATTTCTATCAAATAAAAGTGGAAATCATTTATTCTCATGTAGTTTGACAAATTAATACCAATAGATCATTCAGGGAAGTTGTCAAAGTACAAATTCAATATTTCCTGAATTTCACCTATTAGGGGTCTAAACCTTGACCAATTCTAATAAAACTTGGCATGATTTAAGCTTAGTGTATTATAAAACAGTTAACAAAGTTTCAAAGCCATATGATACCAATTATAAAAATTGTGGCATTTTTTATATCTGAACTTTGGGTGCTGAATTGTGGCGTTGAATTAGAATAATTTCAACTATCAAATTTGGGCTTCCAAAAACCAAAATATACCAAAACTTACACTTTTTAATGTCTCTATGTATAAGTTATCACCTATTAAAAGCAACAGATAGCATACTTCATGTTTCAGACTTATAAAAAATGGCCAGAAGTAAATTTCATATGGGCCTGTGCTAAAAAATAGAGGTTTTCAAATGAAGTGAGGCCTTATATGAAATGTAATATTTTTCACTTACCACAATTTTCTGAAGTTGCTAAGTTATAAAAAAACCTTTTACATGTTATAAATGTACTTTTAATGGAAATATAAGTTTCAAATAGCATAACACATGTGAATAAAATGGTCTTCAGCAATGTCAAGCTTAAAAAAACAGGTTGTCAATTTAGGTCGTTCCCCACATTTGCATATTAAAAAGCATATAAATGATATGGGAGATGGAGATATGCTTCTTTTTGCTCTAATCTTTGCTCAGATATGATAAAACATGGAACCTGGATGTAACAAGACTGTCACTTTCAACTATATATGTAGACAGTATGATCTGATGCAAAGTTATTTACTTTACTTTTTAAAACCGGCATGAAATTTCAGCCTCAAAAGGCCAATATTTTAACCACTAGCTATCAAACAAAAGAAAATAAAGATAGTCTGTGAAACAGACAAGGTCAAACAACCAGTAATAAGTGCTTTTGATACAGATTCAGTGAAATCTGCTAAAAGGAATTCAACTTGTATGTGCATAGAACCTCATTTTTCACTTGCTTCATACTGACCGTTAGACTAGGACCATTAAAGCAGCACATTTTGCACTCTTATTCTGATTTTATCTACTTTTTTTGTATGTTTAGTGTTCAAAAATGAGTTAAACATCTACATTAGATACCACAAACACAAGAAGAAAATCAGAAAAACCTGTCAGAGAGAAAGTAAGCATGCTACTTTTGTAAAAATATTGAAACAACTGAAAAAGTTCAATTTTGGGCATGTAGGCTGAAATGTCACTTTTTACAAAATTTCTATCAAATAAAAGTGGAAATCATTTATTCTCATGTAGTTTGACAAATTAATACCAATAGATCATTCAGGGAAGTTGTCAAAGTACAAATTCAATATTTCCTGAATTTCACCTATTAGGGGTCTAAACCTTGACCAATTCTAATAAAACTTGGCATGATTTAAGCTTAGTGTATTATGAAACAGTTTACAAAGTTTCAAAGCCATATGATACCAATTATAAAAATTGTGGCATTTTTTATATCTGAACTTTGGGTGCTGAATTGTGGCGTTGAATTAGAATAATTTCAACTATCAAATTTGGGCTTCCAAAAACCAAAACATACCAAAACTTACACTTTTTAATGTCTCTATGTATAAGTTATCACCTATTAAAAGCAACAGATAGCATACTTCATGTTTAAGACTTATAAAAAATGGCCAGAAGTAAATTTCATATGGGCCTGTGCCAAAAAATAGAGGTTTTCAAATGAAGTGAGGCCTTATATGAAATGCAATATTTTTCACTTACCACAATTTTCTGAAGTTGCTAAGTTATAAAAAAACCTTTTACATGTTATAAATGTACTTTTAATGGAAATATAAGTTTCAAATAGCATAACACATGTGAATAAAATGGTCTTCAGCAATGTCAAGCTTAAAAAAACAGGTTGTCAATTTAGGTCGTTCCCCACATTTGCATATTAAAAAGCATATAAATGATATGGGAGATGGAGATATGCTTCTTTTTGCTCTAATCTTTGCTCAGATATGATAAAACATGGAACCTGGATGTAACAAGACTGTCTCTTTCAACTATATATGTAGACAGTATGATCTGATGCAAAGTTATTTACTTTACTTTTTAAAACCGGCATGGAATTTCAGCCTCAAAAGGCCAATATTTTAACCACTAGCTATCAAACAAAAGAAAATAAAGATAGTCTGTGAAACAGACAAGGTCAAACAACCAGTAATAAGTGCTTTTGATACAGATTCAGTGAAATCTGCTAAAAGGAATTCAACTTGTATGTGCATAGAACCTCATTTTTCACTTGCTTCATACTGACCGTTAGACTAGGACCATTAAAGCAGCACATTTTGCACTCTTATTCTGATTTTATCTACTTTTTTTGTATGTTTAGTGTTCAAAAATGAGTTAAACATCTACATTAGATACCACAAACACAAGAAGAAAATCAGAAAAACCTGTCAGAGAGAAAGTAAGCATGCTACTTTTGTAAAAATATTGAAACAACTGAAAAAGTTCAATTTTGGGCATGTAGGCTGAAATGTCACTTTTTACAAAATTTCTATCAAATAAAAGTGGAAATCATTTATTCTCATGTAGTTTGACAAATTAATACCAATAGATCATTCAGGGAAGTTGTCAAAGTACAAATTCAATATTTCCTGAATTTCACCTATTAGGGGTCTAAACCTTGACCAATTCTAATAAAACTTGGCATGATTTAAGCTTAGTGTATTATGAAACAGTTTACAAAGTTTCAAAGCCATATGATACCAATTATAAAAATTGTGGCATTTTTTTATCTGAACTTAGGGTGCTGAATTGTGGCGTTGAATTAGAATAATTTCAACTATCAAATTTGGGCTTCCAAAAACCAAAATATACCAAAACTTACACTTTTTAATGTCTCTATGTATAAGTTATCACCTATTAAAAGCAACAGATAGCATACTTCATGTTTCAGACTTATAAAAAATGGCCAGAAGTAAATTTCATATGGGCCTGTGCCAAAAAATAGAGGTTTTCAAATGAAGTGAGGCCTTATATGAAATGTAATATTTTTCACTTACCACAATTTTCTGAAGTTGCTAAGTTATAAAAAAACCTTTTACATGTTATAAATGTACTTTTAATGGAAATATAAGTTTCAAATAGCATAACACATGTGAATAAAATGGTCTTCAGCAATGTCAAGCTTAAAAAAACAGGTTGTCAATTTAGGTCGTTCCCCACATTTGCATATTAAAAAGCATATAAATGATATGGGAGATGGAGATATGCTTCTTTTTGCTCTAATCTTTGCTCAGATATGATAAAACATGGAACCTGGATGTAACAAGACTGTCACTTTCAACTATATATGTAGACAGTATGATCTGATGCAAAGTTATTTACTTTACTTTTTAAAACCGGCATGAAATTTCAGCCTCAAAAGGCCAATATTTTAACCACTAGCTATCAAACAAAAGAAAATAAAGATAGTCTGTGAAACAGACTAGGTCAAACAACCAGTAATAAGTGCTTTTGATACAGATTCAGTGAAATCTGCTAAAAGGAATTCAACTTGTATGTGCATAGAACCTCATTTTTCACTTGCTTCATACTGACCGTTAGACTAGGACCATTAAAGCAGCACATTTTGCACTCTTATTCTGATTTTATCTACTTTTTTTGTATGTTTAGTGTTCAAAAATGAGTTAAACATCTACATTAGATACCACAAACACAAGAAGAAAATCAGAAAAACCTGTCAGAGAGAAAGTAAGCATGCTACTTTTGTAAAAATATTGAAACAACTGAAAAAGTTCAATTTTGGGCATGTAGGCTGAAATGTCACTTTTTACAAAATTTCTATCAAATAAAAGTGGAAATCATTTATTCTCATGTAGTTTGACAAATTAATACCAATAGATCATTCAGGGAAGTTGTCAAAGTACAAATTCAATATTTCCTGAATTTCACCTATTAGGGGTCTAAACCTTGACCAATTCTAATAAAACTTGGCATGATTTAAGCTTAGTGTATTATGAAACAGTTTACAAAGTTTCAAAGCCATATGATACCAATTATAAAAATTGTGGCATTTTTTTATCTGAACTTAGGGTGCTGAATTGTGGCGTTGAATTAGAATAATTTCAACTATCAAATTTGGGCTTCCAAAAACCAAAATATACCAAAACTTACACTTTTTAATGTCTCTATGTATAAGTTATCACCTATTAAAAGCAACAGATAGCATACTTCATGTTTCAGACTTATAAAAAATGGCCAGAAGTAAATTTCATATGGGCCTGTGCCAAAAAATAGAGGTTTTCAAATGAAGTGAGGCCTTATATGAAATGTAATATTTTTCACTTACCACAATTTTCTGAAGTTGCTAAGTTATAAAAAAACCTTTTACATGTTATAAATGTACTTTTAATGGAAATATAAGTTTCAAATAGCATAACACATGTGAATAAAATGGTCTTCAGCAATGTCAAGCTTAAAAAAACAGGTTGTCAATTTAAGTCGTTCCCCACATTTGCATATTAAAAAGCATATAAATGATATGGGAGATGGAGATATGCTTCTTTTTGCTCTAATCTTTGCTCAGATATGATAAAACATGGAACCTGGATGTAACAAGACTGTCACTTTCAACTATATATGTAGACAGTATGATCTGATGCAAAGTTATTTACTTTACTTTTTAAACCGGCATGAAATTTCAGCCTCAAAAGGCCAATATTTTAACCACTAGCTATCAAACAAAAGAAAATAAAGATAGTCTGTGAAACAGACAAGGTCAAACAACCAGTAATAAGTGCTTTTGATACAGATTCAGTGAAATCTGCTAAAAGGAATTCAACTTGTATGTGCATAGAACCTCATTTTTCACTTGCTTCATACTGACCGTTAGACTAGGACCATTAAAGCAGCACATTTTGCACTCTTATTCTGATTTTATCTACTTTTTTTGTATGTTTAGTGTTCAAAAATGAGTTAAACATCTACATTAGATACCACAAACACAAGAAGAAAATCAGAAAAACCTGTCAGAGAGAAAGTAAGCATGCTACTTTTGTAAAAATATTGAAACAACTGAAAAAGTTCAATTTTGGGCATGTAGGCTGAAATGTCACTTTTTACAAAATTTCTATCAAATAAAAGTGGAAATCATTTATTCTCATATAGTTTGACAAATTAATACCAATAGATCATTCAGGGAAGTTGTCAAAGTACAAATTCAATATTTCCTGAATTTCACCTATTAGGGGTCTAAACCTTGACCAATTCTAATAAAACTTGGCATGATTTAAGCTTAGTGTATTATGAAACAGTTTACAAAGTTTCAAAGCCATATGATACCAATTATAAAAGTTGTGGCATTTTTTATATCTGAACTTTGGGTGCTGAATTGTGGCGTTGAATAAGAATAATTTCAGCTATCAAATTTGGGCTTCCAAAAACCAAAATATACCAAAACTTACACTTTTTAATGTCTCTATGTATAAGTTATCACCTATTAAAAGCAACAGATAGCATACTTCATGTTTCAGACTTATAAAAAATGGCCAGAAGTAAATTTCATATGGGCCTGTGCCAAAAAATAGAGGTTTTCAAATGAAGTGAGGCCTTATATGAAATGAAATATTTTTCACTTACCACAATTTTCTGAAGTTGCTAAGTTATAAAAAAACCTTTTACATGTTATAAATGTACTTTTAATAGAAATATAAGTTTCAAATAGCATAACACATGTGAATAAAATGGTCTTCAGCAATGTCAAGCTTAAAAAAACAGGTTGTCAATTTAAGTCGTTCCCCACATTTGCATATTAAAAAGCATATAAATGATATGGGAGATGGAGATATGCTTCTTTTTGCTCTAATCTTTGCTCAGATATGATAAAACATGGAACCTGGATGTAACAAGACTGTCACTTTCAACTATATATGTAGACAGTATGATCTGATGCAAAGTTATTTACTTTACTTTTTAAAACTGGCATGAAATTTCAGCCTCAAAAGGCCAATATTTTAACCACTAGCTATCAAACAAAAGAAAATAAAGATAGTCTGTGAAACAGACAAGGTCAAACAACCAGTAATAAGTGCTTTTGATACAGATTCAGTGAAATCTGCTAAAAGGAATTCAACTTGTATGTGCATAGAACCTCATTTTTCACTTGCTTCATACTGACCGTTAGACTAGGACCATTAAAGCAGCACATTTTGCACTCTTATTCTGATTTTATCTACTTTTTTTGTATGTTTAGTGTTCAAAAATGAGTTAAACATCTACATTAGATACCACAAACACAAGTAGAAAATCAGAAAAACCTGTCAGAGAGAAAGTAAGCATGCTACTTTTGTAAAAATATTGAAACAACTGAAAAAGTTCAATTTTGGGCATGTAGGCTGAAATGTCACTTTTTACAAAATTTCTATCAAATAAAAGTGGAAATCATTTATTCTCATGTAGTTTGACAAATTAATACCAATAGTTGTCAAAGTACAAATGCAATATTTCCTGAATTTCACCTATTAGGGGTCTAAACCTTGACCAATTCTAATAAAACTTGGCATGATTTAAGCTTAGTGTATTATGAAACAGTTTACAAAGTTTCAAAGCCATATGATACCAATTATAAAAATTGTGGCATTTTTTATATCTGAACTTTGGGTGCTGAATTGTGGCGTTGAATTAGAATAATTTCAACTATCAAATTTGGGCTTCCAAAAACCAAAATATACCAAAACTTACACTTTTTAATGTCTCTATGTATAAGTTATCACCTATTAAAAGCAACAGATAGCATACTTCATGTTTCAGACTTATAAAAAATGGCCAGAAGTAAATTTCATATGGGCCTGTGCCAAAAAATAGAGGTTTTCAAATGAAGTGAGGCCTTATATGAAATGTAATATTTTTCACTTACCACAATTTTCTGAAGTTCCTAAGTTATAAAAAAACCTTTTACATGTTATAAATGTACTTTTAATGGAAATATAAGTTTCAAATAGCATAACACATGTGAATAAAATGGTCTTCAGCAATGTCAAGCTTAAAAAAACAGGTTGTCAATTTAGTTCGTTCCCCACATTTGCATATTAAAAAGCATATAAATGATATGGGAGATATATATGCTTCTTTTTGCTCTAATCTTTGCTCAGATATGATAAAACATGGAACCTGGATGTAACAAGACTGTCACTTTCAACTATATATGTAGACAGTATGATCTGATGCAAAGTTATTTACTTTACTTTTTAAAACCGGCATGAAATTTCAGCCTCAAAAGGTCAATATTTTAACCACTAGCTATCAAACAAAAGAAAATAAAGATAGTCTGTGAAACAGACAAGGTCAAACAACCAGTAATAAGTGCTTTTGATACAGATTCAGTGAAATCTGCTAAAAGGAATTCAACTTGTATGTGCATAGAACCTCATTTTTCACTTGCTTCATACTGACCTTTAGACTAGGACCATTAAAGCAGCACATTTTGCACTCTTATTCTGATTTTATCTACTTTTTTTGTATGTTTAGTGTTCAAAAATGAGTTAAACATCTACATTAGATACCACAAACACAAGAAGAAAATCAGAAAAACCTGTCAGAGAGAAAGTAAGCATGCTACTTTTGTAAAAATATTGAAACAACTGAAAAAGTTCAATTTTGGGCATGTAGGCTGAAATGTCACTTTTTACAAAATTTCTATCAAATAAAAGTGGAAATCATTTATTCTCATGTAGTTTGACAAATTAATACCAATAGATCATTCAGGGAAGTTGTCAAAGTACAAATTCAATATTTCCTGAATTTCACCTCTTAGGCCACAGACCACAATTAAATTCTCTATTAGTTCTTTATAACGTTTTGTTTCATTAAAAAAAATGCACCGGTTCTTTTTGTCAAATATTTTGTGTGTGTAAAGTACAGTACTAGTCCAAACATATATCAAACATTCAGAAATATCGCACTCCAGCATCTTACAAATTTAGCTAATACACATCCATACCCCTATGGACAAGTCAAGAGATGTTCCGAAAACTGTTAATATCACCTTTTTGCACCTGGCCTAATCACTCTTTCCATATCAAAATCAGTTAAAATACAACATCCAAAAGTTTATTTCACCTCTCTTCTTTCATTTCCATCCAAAAAAAATCTAAGAAATGAGTGAGGAAGGGAAAGAAAAAAAATTTAGAAAAAATACACTCTAATTAAAAGGAACTTTTTGTCAAATATTTTGTGTGTGTAAAGTACAGTACTAGTCCAAACATATATCAAACATTCAGAAATATCGCTCCCCAGCATCTTACAAATTTAGCTAATACATATCCATACCCCTATGGACAAGTCAAGAGATGTTCCGAAAAACGGTAAATATCACCTTTTTGCACCTGGCCTAATCACTCTTTCCATATCAAAATCAGTTAAAATACAACATCCAAAAGTTTATTTCACCTCTCTTCTTTCATTTCCATCCAAAAAAATCTAAGAAATGAGTGAGGAAGGGAAAGAAAAAAAATTTAGAAAAAATACACTCTAATTAAAAGGAACTTTTTCTCAAATATTTTGTGTGTGTAAAGTACAGTACTAGTCCAAACATATATCAAACATTCAGAAATATCGCTCCCCAGCATCTTACAAATTTAGCTAATACACATCCATACCCCTATGGACAAGTCAAGAGATGTTCCGAAAACTGTAAATATCACCTTTTTGCACCTGGCCTAATCACTCTTTCCATATCAAAATCAGTTAAAATACAACATCCAAAAGTTTATTTCACCTCTCTTCTTTCATTTCCATCCAAAAAAATCTAAGAAATGAGTGAGGAAGGGAAAGAAAAAAAATTAGAAAAAATACACTCTAATTAAAAGGAACTTTTTGTCAAATATTTTGTGTGTGTAAAGTACAGTACTAGTCCAAACATATATCAAACATTCAGAAATATCGCTCCCCAGCATCTTACAAATTTAGCTAATACACATCCATACCCCTATGGACAAGTCAAGAGATGTTCCGAAAACTGTAAATATCACCTTTTTGCACCTGGCCTAATCACTCTTTCCATATCAAAATCAGTTAAAATACAACATCCAAAAGTTTATTTCACCTCTCTTCTTTCATTTCCATCCAAAAAAATCTAAGAAATGAGTGAGGAAGGGAAAGAAATTTTTTTTAGAAAAAATACACTCGAATTAAAAGGAACTTTTTGTCAAATATTTTGTGTGTGTAAAGTACAGTACTAGTCCAAACATATATCAAACATTCAGAAATATCGCTCCCCAGCATCTTACAAATTTAGCTAATACACATCCATACCCCTATGGACAAGTCAACAGATGTTCCGAAAACCGTTAATATCACCTTTTTGCACCTGGCCTAATCACTCTTTCCATATCAAAATCAGTTAAAATACAACATCCAAAAGTTTATTTCACCTCTCTTCTTTCATTTCCATCCAAAAAAATCTAAGAAATGAGTGAAGAAGGGAAAGAAAAAAAATTTAGAAAAAATACACTCTAATTAAAAGGAACTTTTTCTCAAATATTTTGTGTGTGTAAAGTACAGTACTAGTCCAAACATATATCAAACATTCAGAAATATCGCTCCCCAGCATCTTACAAATTTAGCTAATACACATCCATACCCCTATGGACAAGTCAAGAGATGTTCCGAAAACTGTAAATATCACCTTTTTGCACCTGGCCTAATCACTCTTTCCATATCAAAATCAGTTAAAATACAACATCCAAAAGTTTATTTCACCTCTCTTCTTTCATTTCCATCCAAAAAAATCTAAGAAATGAGTGAGGAAGGGAAAGAAAAAAAATTAGAAAAAATACACTCTAATTAAAAGGAACTTTTTGTCAAATATTTTGTGTGTGTAAAGTACAGTACTAGTCCAAACATATATCAAACATTCAGAAATATCGCTCCCCAGCATCTTACAAATTTAGCTAATACACATCCATACCCCTATGGACAAGTCAAGAGATGTTCCGAAAACTGTAAATATCACCTTTTTGCACCTGGCCTAATCACTCTTTCCATATCAAAATCAGTTAAAATACAACATCCAAAAGCTTATTTCACCTCTCTTCTTTCATTTCCATCCAAAAAAATCTAAGAAATGAGTGAGGAAGGGAAAGAAAATTTTTTTAGAAAAAATACACTCGAATTAAAAGGAACTTTTTGTCAAATATTTTGTGTGTGTAAAGTACAGTACTAGTCCAAACATATATCAAACATTCAGAAATATCGCTCCCCAGCATCTTACAAATTTAGCTAATACACATCCATACCCCTATGGACAAGTCAACAGATGTTCCGAAAACCGTTAATATCACCTTTTTGCACCTGGCCTTATCACTCTTTCCATATCAAAATCAGTTAAAATACAACATCCAAAAGTTTATTTCACCTCTCTTCTTTCATTTCCATCCAAAAAAATCTAAGAAATGAGTGAGGAAGGGAAAGAAAAAAAATTTAGAAAAAATACACTCTAATTAAAAGGAACTTTTTCTCAAATATTTTGTGTGTGTAAAGTACAGTACTAGTCCAAACATATATCAAACATTCAGAAATATCGCTCCCCAGCATCTTACAAATTTAGCTAATACACATCCATACCCCTATGGACAAGTCAAGAGATGTTCCGAAAACTGTAAATATCACCTTTTTGCACCTGGCCTAATCACTCTTTCCATATCAAAATCAGTTAAAATACAACATCCAAAAGCTTATTTCACCTCTCTTCTTTCATTTCCATCCAAAAAAATCTAAGAAATGAGTGAGGAAGGGAAAGAAAATTTTTTTAGAAAAAATACACTCGAATTAAAAGGAACTTTTTGTCAAATATTTTGTGTGTGTAAAGTACAGTACTAGTCCAAACATATATCAAACATTCAGAAATATCGCTCCCCAGCATCTTACAAATTTAGCTAATACACATCCATACCCCTATGGACAAGTCAACAGATGTTCCGAAAACCGTTAATATCACCTTTTTGCACCTGGCCTAATCACTCTTTCCATATCAAAATCAGTTAAAATACAACATCCAAAAGTTTATTTCACCTCTCTTCTTTCATTTCCATCCAAAAAAATCTAAGAAATGAGTGAGGAAGGGAAAGAAAAAATTTTTAGAAAAAATACACTCTAATTAAAAGGAACTTTTTCTCAAATATTTTGTGTGTGTAAAGTACAGTACTAGTCCAAACATATATCAAACAACACAATATCACACACCTATATCCCCCTCCAAAAAAAAAAAAATTTGACCCCCAAAAAATTACCCTCATTTCAAGTAAAAGAGCCCTAAATTTTCATAAAAAAAAAAGCAAAAAAAAACGCAAAAACACCAAAATTTTCTTACTCCCAAAAAAATTTTTTTTTTACTTTGGAAAAAAACGTTATTAAAAACACCCAAAAAAACAACCAAAAAATTCCAAAAAAAAAATAAATAAAAAAACCGGGAGAACAGGCGAAGAAAGAATTCTGTGGGATTTAAGAGAAAAAAAAAAAATCAATTTTTACTTTAAAAAATGAAACAACCTACAGCTCCTGATTTATATCCAGAATTACCTATAGAAGATGGACAAAATTATAGACTACAAAAAATAACAGAAATAGAAAAAACATTAATAAATGAGAGAGATAAACGTAAATCACTATACAAAAAATATAAACGCGGAGTTAATGTTACTGATGGTGTTGATACAAGTTTAATTTCGACATCTGTTGTTTTAGCTGGTATAGGAATAGCTTTTCCTATCTTACTTCCCATACAAATTGCAGCTGTTGTATGTGGAAGTTTAGGAGGTCTAGTTAAATTAATTAGAAGAAAGTTGACAACAAAATCAAAAAAACATTATGAAATTAAAACAATGGCAGAATGCAAGTTAAACAGCATAAAAGATTTAATATCAAAATCTTTAACTGACGGACAGATAAGTGCAGATGAATTTAAACTTATTTTAGATGAATTAGAAAAATACAACAAAATGAAAGAAAATATACGAACAAAACAAACACAAACAGTAATGAATGATAATGAAAGAAAAAAACTAATTGAGGAAACAGAAAATAGAGTAAAAAACGAATTAAAAAAAAAAATGGAAAATCTTTGATTTTCTTTAATAAAATAATTTTAGTTGATAACGGAAATCCACCAAACTATGAATCAATTTTTAATTAAATAAATGGATGAAGAAACAAAAGAAAAATTAGTAAAAAATGTAAAAATAATGTTAAATAAAAAATTTAATTATTTTTATCTTAAGTTGTTTTTAACA